GAGCAACAGGAACTCTCATTCATTGCTGGTGAGAAAGCAAAATGATACAGCGACTTTGGAAGACAATTTGGCAGTTTCTCAAAAAACTAAACATACCCTTACCATATCATCCAGTAATAAAGCTCCGTGGTATTTACCCAAAGGAGTTAAAAAGTCATGTCTACACAAAAACCTGCACATGGGTTTTTATAGCAGCTTTATTCATAATTGCCCAAACTTAGAAGCACCCAAGATGTCCTTCAGTAAGTGAATGGATAAATTGTGATGTATCCGGAAAATGGAATATTATTCAGCACTAAAAAGGAATGAGCTATCAAGCCATAAAAATACACAGAGAAAACTTAAATGCATATTGCTAAGTAAGAGAAGCCAATCTGAAAAGGCTATACACTGTATATTTCTAACTACAGGATATGACACTCTGGAAAAGGCAAAACTATAGAGACAATAAAAAGATCAGTCGTTGCCAGGGGCTGGGGGAAGGTAGGGAGAAATAGCATATTTTTTGAGCAATGAAATTACTGTGTGTGATACTATGAGGGTGAATACATTATCATACATTGGACCAAACTCATAGAATGTACAGCACCGAGAGTGAACGCTAATGAAAACTGTGGACTTTGGGTGATAATGATGTGTCAGTGTAGGTTCTTAAATTGTAACAAATGTACCACTCTGGTGGGGATGTTGGTAATGCAGGAGGCTATGCATGTGTGTGGCAAGGGTATATATGGGAAATGTCTGTATCTTCTTCTCGATTTGGCTGTGAACCTAAAACTTCTCTAAAAAGTAAAGTCTATTAAAAACCAACAAATGAACGATATGAAAAACCAAACATGGTCTCTGTCCTCATGAGGATTATGGTCCAGTTGGAGAGAAAGATATCAAACAATCACCCAGTAACCATAAACATTGTAACTCTGAGGAAAGGCAATTTTAAGAGTTCATACAACTGAAGCACTTAGTCTGTTCAGTGAGATCAGCCAGGCTTCTCTGAGAATGTGTCAGTTGAGCTTGATGACCCCCAAGGAGAGGAGGAGCGAGAGGCTTTAGGCTTGCAGGAGACACAGAAATCCAGCACCTATAGCTTTTTGGGTTTTGCATGCAGTCAAGCAGACCTCTCTCTCACCAGGCTGGAAATTATATCATGACAGAGTCATGATTATCCCCATTTTGCAGATAAGGAAAGGAAGGTTCAGAGCAGCTAAGGGACTTGGCCAAGATTAGAGTGCGTTACAGGTAGAATGACATGCAGACCAACACCTCCTGACTTTTTGATCTATTCTCTTTCTTACCCCCTCAGCTCAGGGCTAAGCCAGACCAACCTGAAGGTACAGTCCTTGACAAATGGGCTCAGCAACAAGGGACCTTAGGAAAGCCAAGATGAGGATATCTAGTAGGAAAGGTTTTTTTATCCTCATCAGGAATACTGAAGGTCTGCACGTGTCACCTCTCCTCTGGTTGACCCTTCTTGCTGAAGTATGTCCTGGGGGGATATTAAAAGACCTGCCTGTTACTGATGGCAAGATGGAAAACTAACGAGTGAGCAAGAGAATAAGCAGTTTATTAGAAGAAGAAGAGGAAGAGGAGGAGGAAATGGGAAGATGGAGGAAGAAAGGATATACCCATCATTCATCAAATAGATGTTTTAAGCTCTATTCATATCAGGCACAAATGTTTCAGGATGTGGGGATATAACAGAGCATGAGCAGACAAAGCCCCTGCCCCATGCAGCTGATACTATATTTAGAGAATCCCAATAATAAACAAGTAAATAAGCAAATAAGTGAGACTATGGCAAAGAAAGATATCCACTATGAAGAAAACATAGCAAGATATAAAGTATGGGGGAAAGTACTTCAGGTGTGGTGGTTAGGGAGGGTCTCTTTGAAGAGGTGACATTTAATCCGGGACCTGAAGGATGAGAGGGAGCCATCAATGGGGGAAGATCTGGGAAACAGCTGGCAAAGACAACAGCTAAAGCGGAGTTCTCTGGGCTGGAATGAGCACAGTGCCCTCAAGGACCAGGAGGAAGGTGGTGGGGGCTGGTTTGGAATGAGTGAAAAGAGCTATAGGAGATGAGGTAAAAGAGGCAAAGGTCAAAGAGCGAAAGATTTTGCCCTGCAACTGAAATACTGTTTATCGCTCCTCAGTGTTCCTCCTGGTGTTGGGCTTTTATTTCTCTTACAGATATTAGTGCTTATATTAGAAGAGGGTCTGCGGTAAGCCCTTTAATGCACATTATCTCATTTAATGCCCACAGTAGGCCTAGGAGGGTTCAATCTGAAAGTAACATTTCTTGGTCAATTTCAGCCAATGACCAGGTCAGTTTTTCCAGGAAAACAGCTAGAACTAATGGGCTGCCCACATGTCTCCAATGGTGTTGTCTCAGTGAGTGCGATAAAGCCCCAGGAGCCCTCCCCTTGCCTGGTGCATCCCACAATGTAGATGATCAGAAAGTCCTTGGATTAAAGCTGGGTTCTGGGACTAGAGTCCCCATTAGGGTCACACTGGGCTGGTGTGCAGCTTTGATCCACAAGTGACTCTGGTAAGATACAAGAAAAAGCTCAAATCCAATTTTGTGCAGAATCCTCTAAGGAGCTAGAAGAAGGGGTGGGAAGGAAAAAGAAACTGAATTTCACACCCCACCCCCCATTTGACCCCAACTGGTATACTTCACTCAACTGGTAATTACTGAGCAACTACCGTGTGGGCCTGAGAGGGGCCACAGCTTAGCTTGGTGTGGTTAGGCAGGAGTATGAGCTGAAATCCATGTGCCTTTGCTCCGCTCTGCTACTTTAGCCAGGGAGAGGGGGACCCTTTTTTGCAAATTCCTCTGCCTAGAAGCACCAGTTCTCTGATTCACAGTAAAGGGAAGTATGTGCTGACAGAGGCAGGGGATATTTTAGAGGACAAAAAAATACAAAGTTTCTACTTGCTTGGAGCTCACATTCTAGAGAGGGAGACCAAAAATGCCCACTCTGAAAAAAAATCAAGCAAATGGAGATGATGGGGGTGCTAGTTTTGGAGGACTTTGTGGAGGAGGTGGCAGTTCAACTTGACATGCAGAGATGAACGAGATTTCCACCGACATAGATGGGGAAGAGGAGAGGGCTCTGTGCGTAGAAGGATCGGCGAGGTCAAGGACACTTGAAGATAAGCACAAAGCCAGCAACCGGGCTAGGCGAAGCGTAGCGCAGGGCAGGGCAGCGCAGCGCAGTGCAGAGAGCAGGGAGAGGTTTGATCAGCACTAGCAGGTCACGCGAGGGGGATGGTTTCTAGAGCCAAGGTAAGAGGAGCCTTGAAGGTTTCGTAGCAGACGCCAAGATCCAAGCTGGGATGTTAGAAAATTGAATCACCATCGCTTATCCTGGAGGTGGAAGAACTGGGAGGCAAGAGTCGTCCGGACAGTGGTCCAGGGCTGGGGGCGGCTAGGTTCGCTGGTCAGAGAGAATCAGGAGGATGCACGTGGGGTGGCAGAGAGGAAGGCAGCCAAGAGGATGCTTCGTCCGTCCACATCAGGGAGGAAGTAGTTAAGTGTTGAGTACTGAGCGCCCTGAGGGGGAGCCACAGGCGTCACCGTGGGAGTCCGGCTCCGCGGCCCGGCCCTCCGAAGAAGCGCCCAGGCAGCCTGACTTCTCCTTCAGCGCCCTCACCACAGTTACAGACATATTGCCTCGTCTAGTGCGATTCCGTGTTTAATGTTTCAGCTCCCACACGTCAGGGCTCGGGTCTGTTTTCATGTCATCTTGAGCCTGGCACAGTGTCTGGCACATAGTAGGCGCTCACTAATGGTTTGCTGAGTGACTGAATGGGATATAGAAACCGGCAAGAGGTTTCAGGAAAGGACTCCATGCGCTGAGTGTACAGAAGCACACGTGGGACTGCGAGGCATTACAACTCCAAGGGGGCTGTTGGACTTGTGTGAAAAAAGGTCCTGAGGAGAGGATCCGGTCACCTTCCTGCCGGTTTGGAGGTGCTACAGACTGGTGGCGGGAGTGCACAGCTGTCCGCAGTTTACAGAGGACGTTCGCCCGTAACGTCAGGGGCTTCCTAGAGGAGAAAAACCAGAGCCCGCCCGAAGAACAGTGCGCGTGGAGCACAGCTGTGCTCCCATTTCACAGCTGGGAATACTGAGTCCCCGGGGTCAAAGTAGGTCCACAGGTCCTTGGGGTCGAGCCTAAGTGGGTAAGAAGCGACAGCCCTGGAGGCTGCAGGCGCTGAGCATCCGGCCCGACTCCAATACTATTTGCATATCCCCCGGGAGATCGCAAACTCTCCGCCGCAGTCCGGAGCAGAGGATGCCATGCGAGGCGCTGGGGTCCCCAGTTGTGCCCAGCGCGCTGACACGTGGCCCACCCGCCGGTGCCCAGCCGGCACCGGTTAGCGCCCAACTCCCCAACTCCTGACTTTCTCACAGCTCCCGCGGGCGGGGGAGCAGCCGAGGAGCGGGACGCACCATCGCAGCTCGAGAGGGGGGAACGGTCCATCCCGGTACCCTGACGTGCCCGGGCAGATGCGCACACACCGTGAGAAGGCAGAGGCCGGCGGTGCACAGCTCTCGATAGCAGACGCGGGAGACGGCGGCACGAGGCGCGCTGCTCAGCGGGGCCCAGGGGTGGCGACGGCGGCGGCGATCCCTCCGTGGCGGCGGCGCGGTGGTGGCGCCCAACTCCCAGGCCGGCGAGCAG